TCCCGAAGAAACTGCACAAATACATCATGGAAATCTCTGATTCTAACAATAATTATAAAGAGAAAGTCATTGAAGGGTGTTAGTCAACGGTGAGTTAAATAAGAGCAAAGCCAAGGTTTGCACTAACCTGGCTTTCTGTTGAGTCGGGAGAGGAGGAGGGGCAGTTTGACTGAAGGTTTCCTGCTGAGATTCTACAGCCCCACCACCACCCCAGGGCTCAATTTAGTAACTTGCAGTCCACTCCATTAAATGTGTTTGGGTTCCCAGCCCCTACCCTGACCCTCCCCCCAGACTGAGCTGGGGAGCCCTTAGAAGGTAATGAGAAGGCTGAGAGTTTCAAGTCTGGGAAGAGCTTGGAAACCAAAGCTCTCAGCCTCTCCCTGMACGGCCCTATCCCTGCTGATAAGGCTGAGAGCAAAGCTAGCTGACAAGTGATTGGAAACAGGAGTTCCCAAACCCTTTAACCCTTCCCTGCCCTGCCATTACAAGCTGGAGTCTCCAAATGCTGAGGCCCATCTCCATGCAGCTTCCCCTCTGTCGGGGCTCTGCCTCCCCAACACCAACCTTTCCATTAACCTCTGTTCTGATGCGTCACTGAGTGATGTTCTTCTGAAAAAAAAAAAAAAAAAAAACAGTCGCTACCACCACCAAAGACGCAGTCCCTCCATGCTCAGGCCACGCTACAAGTCATCCAGGGAGTGTCCCCTCTRGTCCGACCCTCCCAAGCTTCCTTAATCACCACACCAGTGCTCCTCCAGGGCTGCTGCTTAGCAGCAGGAACCGACCAGGTGAATGTTGGTCCTGTTTGGTGTTTGTGGGTTCCGGAATGGAAGACCCAGGCCCAGTATCAGTAGCCTAAGTATAGGGCCATTCTCTGCTGCCCTGGCTGGCTAGAGATGGAGCCCCAAATCAGGGGCTACCTGGGTATTGCCTGTGGCACGATCAGGCCTCCTTCAAGGACAGATGACTAGGGGTCCATCCCCAGAGATAATCAGCTTGGTTGAAGCTGAGAGGCAAGCCGCCTTGCATAGCCTGGGGTGGGAGGGCATTAAGGAGAAACCAGGCTTACTAGCCACAGTAATTAAGTGTAAAAGAAGCTTCCTTCTTAGAATGGAATTCAGATAAACTGCCATTATCAAGCAAATCGGCTTTGCACCTTAAAGCCCTTACCCAAACAGGCAGTTTAATTAAATCCCTAATCTCCTCTCGCCTGTTCTGACCCCTTCCTTCTCCTCTCCCTCCTCTTGTACCCTCTTCCTCCACCCAACCACCCACCACCTGCCAACTTCAAGATTCCATTTAAAATACCTAACCTCTAATCATGCAGAACATACCAAGAAATGGTGGGTTTGGGAGTGTTCTTGGAGTGCCTGGTTGCTGTATCTTAGGCTGTTAGCTCCCTAAGGCTCAGAAAGTCCTAACTGGAGGTGCCAGTTGGCAATGATGGAGGTGAGATGGCAGGGGTGAACTTGACAATGGTGGTGGGAGCAAAGTGAGGGAGTGAGCACACCTTCCTTGAGTAGGAGGGTGTGCACATCACACAGCCCCACTGGCTCCAGACCACCCCCAGGAAGCTGATGCCCATTTGCAGTCCAGTCCAGAAAAAAAATCTGTGATCTCAACATCCGTGGCCTATAGCAGCACTAGCAGGGTTGCTTGGATGAAGGATTCTGGTATTAAAGCAAAGGAGGCAGGGATGACAAATTGACCTGTCCTTGGGTGTTCTCAAGTCTTAGGCTGTGCTGTCCACTGCTAGGAACACTAGGAGGGACACTAAACCTGTTAGTGAGAGCAAACTCTGCTGGGGAAAGCGGGAAGCTGCGGAGCTTAGGCTATCTGCTGTAGGAAGAAGGGGAGGTCAGGAAAAGGAGGAACGAATGGATGGGGTGGGGGTGCAGGACTGGAGAGCACTGACAAAGAACAACCAAAAGTACCTTCTGATATCTGCCAAGTGCTCTAGAAATCAGTGTCTTCCTGCAGGAAAAGGACAGAAACCACTCATCAAATGCCACTCACGTTCTCTCTTCAGTTTTAATCTTGTAAAGTACATCTTATCCCCACCCCCCAGCCCCCACTTCCCCACTGGAGGAAACTGAGATTCAGGGAAGTGAAATGACTTGGCCAACAGCAACCGTGATTGACAGAGCCAGGATTCAAACGCCCGGCTGCCTTCCTGAAAATCGATACTCTTTCTGCTAAACCACAGATCACCCGCAGGGATCATCTTGTTGGAGGGGGGGGGATTAACCACCCAACCATATTCTTCATGCTTTGCAGGATGATCTCCATCCCTTCTCCCTCTTGCAGCCAGAAAGATCCCATTCTGAAACAATCCATTTCCTCCAGGCAAGGACTTCAACAGGGATGAGTGAACCAACCCTCAGCCCTGGGGATGCAGGGAGACAGGTTTGCAGAGGGACCCTTGGGGCTCAATCCCAAGAGGTCAAAGAGTCCMGGAGGAAACTTTTCCTTAGAGAAGAGAAGCGTCCAGGGTTGTGGTGGGGGAGGGGGCATCTGCAAGTCATATAACAAACACCAGACCTCTCCATTTTATACCTCATTCCTTGGGTGGGGGTGAGCAGAGGAACCATCTCTATTTGGGAAACAGTGAAACTCAAATCACCGTGAACCCTGCACTTTTTCTGTTAATTGTGCAGACTTCACTGTGCCTGGAGAACGCATGAGCTTTYTTGAGAGGAAGTTATATTTCTGGAAATATGACTCTCTGGATTCATGAAAACCCTTGTTTCTTGTGGGGGATTCCCTACTTCCTTGCATGGTGGGTTTTCTTTGCAGAGAGTAGGAGCCCTTTGGGGGAGGTTCCAATAAATCTTATGGATAAATGAATGGAGGTGATGGTGTTTGGAGACAGCACAATACCCATCCCAGACCGTTCCCAAGCCTCTCAGTCTTTGCCCCTGAGCTGGTTCTGCCCTGCCAAGCCCTAWAGCAGCTACCCTGCTCCAAAGCCAACTATTTCCAGAGGTCAGCCACTTGGAATAACAGGTGCTGCTGTTGTGACTTCAGATAGACAGCCCAGGACTGAGGCTTGGCTCCAGGGATGATGTGGGTGGTGAAGGTAGTAGGATTTTGGACAAGATCTGTGACAGGGTCCTTTGTCTCTCTTGTAGCAAAGACAACAAAGAAGAATTTTAAAAGGCCGTCTTGGTCTCCAGAACCCACCCCTCTGGAAGCAGATGGCATGTCAACAGGTTCCAGGGCTGGCCCCAGAGGCCCCAGACCTGGGAGCCTTATTGGAATGCAATTATCCTAAGTGCTGGCTGTTAGGATGAAAAGGCAGGAATGCAATTATGGAAGGAGCAGGCCTTGCTTTCATTGATTAACCTGCCCTGTCTGATTCCATTCCCCATCAGGGTGATGTCTGAGGCCCTGGGGGTTGCCCTGTGYCCTTGGGTGATGAGAAAGGAAAACAGTTACTGCAGAAAGTGAATGCCTCAAACAGAACACAGGAGGGCCTATGGACCCCGAGACTGCCTAGGGAATGCACTGGTACAAAATGTGCATTTTCTAGGAAAAGGCTCTGCTCATTTATCACTCACTCAAAGGGGTCTACAGCTCCCCCACCAAAGGGTTAAGAACCACCATGTTATAAGGGAAAAAGATCAGGGAAGTTGTTAGAAGAGGCTTCCAGGAGAAGTTCCTTTAGATTCCAACTCCAAGTGGCCACAATCCACCTGGGTTCAATTCTGGTTCCACCACTCACCAGCAAGTTACATAACCTTCTGTGCYTCCGTTTTATCTATAAAATAAGGGTTAAAATACCTACATCCTAGGGCTGATGAGAGAAGTAAATGACATAAAGCATACACAGCTCTTAGCCCAACATCTAGCCCTTAGTRAACTCTCCATAAGTAGAAGCCATTTTGATAACAATTGTCTGTTCAAGTAGAATGTACATACATACTCTTCTGAATGGTCTTTTGACTTCAAACCCACAGCCTAGATTCCATGGGAATCCCAGTGTAATGTTCTCCTCCAAAATTGAGCACAGCTCTGAACCTCAGGGCCTCCAGACACTGCTTCCTCAAACCCTCACCTAGTAGGGTGCTTCTCCCCTGAGAGGCACCAGAATCTGGCCACACTTTAAAGACACGCTGCTGAAAATTAGGACACATCCAGTGTCAGCATGGTGATAATACAAAGGAGGGGTTGCCTGGCCTTGAGCGGGAGTCATCCTCAACCCGACACATCAAAGAAGTTTCTTGCAATCACCATCAATAAAATCTTCCTGCTTTTGGGGGATAACACATTCACATGCTGACTTGTGGGGGACTGTCTATCCTATCAGGCCTGGAGGCCTAGCATCTGCTGAATGACCAGTCCAGGACTAAGAAAGTAAAATGTCGTCTGGGTGCCCTGATGTACCCCTACAATCCCAGAGACTAGGGTGACTAAGGCAGGAGGATCACAAGCTCAAGGCCAGCCTTAGCAACTTAGCTAAGATCCTGTCTCAAAACAAAAAAACAGAAAGGACTGGGGATGTAGCTCAGTTGTAAAGAACTCCCAGGTCCAACTCACAATATTCTCCCACACACACACACACAAAAAAAAAAAAAAAAAAAAAAGGAAGAAAGAAAAGAAAGTAAAAGCCAACTCTTTCCTCTTCCTCTCTTCCCCTCATACCCTTTTCTTCTCCCAGATCCTGGGAGCTCTCCTCCCTCAGAAACTACATGCTGCCCCAGGACCCTTTTCTTGCTCCCTTCTCCAGCAAACCCTGTGCAACCCAAACCCTTGCTTCTAACCCAAAGCTTCCTCCACCTCCAGGGTCAGATGGGGGTGATCCCAACTGCAGAGGTACAGAGGGAAATTCCSGAGATGAGGGCCATGGGAGGATCTTGATTTCTTGGTTCCCAAGATAAAATATACCAAAAAGCAGAGAGGAGGAGCTGGCCGCAGGCTGTATGTTCGTTTTTTCATCAATCATTCATTTATTCATTAATCATTCATCCCTCTCACCCAGCAATCATTCATCTGCTTACTTATTCATTCGGTTTGTACCCCTTCCTTGCCATGGTTGCCACAGATGTTGGTCCGCTCCTGCTTTKATCTGTCCTGTCTCTGTGGCAACTGCATAGCAGGAGCCTTCTCATGCACCTGGTCAGGTACCTGGCTGAGAGGATGACTCCTTCTGAGAGGCCTGAATCAACCAAAGGGACAGTGCAGAGCTATCCCCTACCTGCAAGCCCCTTCCCATTGCAAGATCCAGATTTCTGGTCCATGGGTCAGTGGGAGGGGTGGGAAGGGGCTGTGGAGGGGTCTCTGAGGCCACACAGAGAATTATGGTTTCTGGTTCCTCTGGAAGGCAGGGAACCATAGGAGGCTCCAAGCCCCTGGGCCTGAGAGGTCCAGTGGACATGGTATGAGGGAATATGGGGCTATAGTTTGGGAGCCTAAGCTCTTAGCCTCCTGACAATTTTCCCGGATTCCATCCACCCTACCCCTCCTCCTCCCCTAAAGTTTATTCTCAGCCAGTAGCCAGAGGACCCTTAAAATCCCACCGAGGGCTGAGGTTGTGGTTCAAAGGTAAAGCACTTGCCTAGTGTGTTCGCCTGGCATGYGTGAGGCACTGGGTTCGATCCTCAGCACCACATAAAAATAAAATAAAGATATTGTGTACACCTATAACTAAAAAATAAATATTAAAAAAAAATCCCACCGAGACTACCATTCACTCAGAGCAGAAGCTGAGGCCTGCTTGACCTGGTCCCCTTGTCCCCCACAGCCTCCTTTTCTACCCATGCGGACTCTTGCCGGTGTCCTTTCCTCTGGGATACTCTTACCTTGTCTTGCTCTTGACAGTGATTCACTTTCTCTCCTTCAAGTCTGTGCTCAATGGACATCTTCCCCATGAGCCTACCCTGCCCCATCATATTTAATTACAAATCRCACACGTGCACACACACACACACACACCCCTCCGCCTGCCCTTGCTCGCTAGTGCTCATCCCCTGCTAGTGTGCTGTGTCATGTACKTATTCTAGTGTTTCAGTCTGAATGCAGTCTCCCGGAGAGCAGGGTCTCGTGCTTTCTTCACTGATGTATCTCGAGGGTGTGCCCCTGGATGCTGGTACCTAACAGGACCTAGGAATCATTCCTGGGATGAAGGAAGGAATGAATGAATGATGGGCTGCAGGGAGCTCTGAGGATGAAGCTTGTGAGTTCAGAGCTCCGCAAGGTTGAATTTAGGAAGCCCACAGTGCCCATGTCAGCTGTACTGAGGAGAAAGAAGCCAGAGAAATTGCCGGCTGCCAGTCTTCTCAGGGAGGGAAGGTAGGCAGAAGCGAGGGCGGGGATTGCGCTAACTCGAGATGCCAGCTCCGTGCCGCTCTGGGGCTGGCCCACGCTCTGGATGTCATTAGCTGATTTGTTCTGCTCTGCAGAATGTACTTTTCATATTTAGGCAGAAAAAACAGCTTTCGATCCTCATGCCTTTTCTTCTGTGAGCTGTAGCACATGGCCTGCTTATTATGAATTAATCCTCTAAAGAGCATGTTCATTATTCTAATTTAATTGTGTTTCGTTTCAGAAAATAACTAAACCCAGTGCGGAATAAACTCCAACACCGATCGGTTTTCAAGAAGTTAACCTAAGACAAAATACTGCTAGAGGGCAGCAGCAATTTGGAATCATTAAAGGGAACCCATGTAAATAATAAAAACAAAACTAAAATGCAGAATTAAATTAAGGAATAGGAAATTAAATTTGTGAATCTAATCTGAAATTGAGGCCTCATATGCACAGGCTTACCCTGGCTTGGTTCTTCGCTCAGGAGTGCTCAGGCGGGGAGGTTCTGCAGAGGGTCCCAAGACCAGGGATGCAGCCGGCTCCTCCTGAGTGACAGGGAGCTGTCCTGGGAAGAGAGGTGTGGGCCAGAAGGAGAGGAAGGAGACTTTTCTCCCATGGGTTCGCCTGTGATCACCACRAAATCCACATTGTCATAGCTACATCTGGATGACTCATGACCCTGCTTGAACAGCGAGAGGGAATCACCTGTAGCTGGGAGTCCAGACTGCCACTCACCAGGAGCAAGCTGTTGAAGAGAGGATAGAAGTGGTGTGGCCTCAGAACCGAAGCTGCTGGGAGCAAGGCAGCCCCTCCTGCCCTGCTGCACCCCTGGGCCCTGGTCATCCTTCCACAGGTGACCCAGCTCAGGACTGAGGTCTCTTCTATCCAGACAGAGTCCCCCAAGCTGGATCCTGGCCTCTCCATCGCCACTGTTAAGAGCCCAGTTTCAGATGGACATGATACAAACTCCAGCATCTGGACAGTCACAGCAGGTCAGCCTCCAGCAAGCAAGAAAAAGAAGGAAAGAAAGAAGGGGACGGGGCTGGCAGGAGAGCCAACTCCCAGACCTCAACGTGTGCGTGCAAGTTAAGGGTGCATTTAGCACGGGGCTCAGACTTCGTGGCATATTTTTTTCCAAAATTTTTAAGACCCGTGTGTTTTCTCTCTTTCCTCCCACTTCCCTTCTCAAAGTGAAAAGAGTTGAGTCTTTGGAGACCCACGGACCAGCCTGGAGTCGCAGGTCTTGTTCGTACATGGTCTGGTGCTTGGACAAACTCTCTTGTTTTTTAACCTCAGTTTCCTCATAAGTAATAAAAATAATCATATCACTTGCCCCCTTGGGTTGTGTCAAGGAGTCAATGGAATAACGCACCTGGCACAGAGCAGTCCCCCCCAGGCACTTCTGCTATTGCACTTTCTGTGTCACCAGCACTTGTTCACACACAGGCTTCCTCCTCTGTCAAAGGCCTTAGGCTGTGTTTCTAGAGAAGAACAAGTAGTTGGGAAGAAAAGTCCGACTGACTGCTTGCTTTGATTCACAAAGGCAAACATTCAAATGGATGGCCACATCCAAGTATCTGAGGGAAGTTTTCCTTTTCTGTCTTCATTTAGGTTCTACTTAGATAAATTAGTCACCTGAGAATAGGTCCTGAAGCCAGAAAGGAATACAAACGAGCAAAAAAAAAAAAAAAAAAAAAAAAACTTACTTCTTATTTAATTTGTACCCTGAAGTCCTGATCAAGAAAATGATGCACATAATTTAGGCCACAACATTGTTGAACGGTCAGTTAATGAAACACTGATTACATCTAAAACTATCAAATATGGAGGTTAGAAAGGCAGAAAGAGTTAAAAGCTCTTTGGAATTCCATGGCTGTTTGTCCTGATTGCTAATCGTTGCCAGAGAGTATTCTAGGTTTCTTGCTCATCCCTCAACTTGTACCTATAAACCAAGACACCATGATGCATGGCCAATGTCACAATGAACCCAAAAMCCCAGAGCAGCTGCATGGTGTGGGTCAAAGAACCCAGGAAGATGCATGCTGATGACGATGGAAAGGAAGAAGGAGAGCCATGCCCTGTCCTGAGCTATTAGGAAGAAGAAGTGGTCACCTGAAATTGAGGACCATGGCCATGAAGGCCGCAAGGTTGACTTACACCTGGATCTGGGGAGAAATGCTGCAAAATGACCCTCAGCCCTTAACRGTAGTTTAAGAAATGGCACTAAAACCTTCTAAACAGGGCTGGGGATGTGGCTCAAGCGGTAGCGCGCTCGCCTGGCATGCGTGCGGGCCCGGGTTTGATCCTCAGCACCACATACCAACAAAGATGTTGTATCCGCCGAGAACTAAAAAATAAATATTAAAAAAAAAAATTCTCTCTATCTCTCTCTCTCCTCTCTCACTCTTTCTTTAAAAAAAAAAAAAGAAAAAAAAATAAAACCTTCTAAACAAACAAAATACATGATAGAAGAAAGCCAAGCCTTGAGAGGGGCCCTGTCCCACAGGGCCCCCCGCTCCCCATCCCACAGGGCCCCCGCCTCCCCCAGGGGTCTCAATACCAGGAAGCTGGAGTGAGTTTGATCAGTTAAATGGTGYGATGAATTGCTTGCTTGGTTTCCCTCCAAAAGTCGTGGGTTGAAATCTTAACCCCCAATGAGACGGTATTAGAAGGTAGAACTGTTGAGGGATAAAGATTTAGATATGGTCATAAATATGGAGTCCCCTAATAGGATTAGCATTCTTACAAAAAGAAAAGACTAATAGGCATGTGAGGATACATTGAGAAGATGGCAAACCTGGACCTTCATCAGACACTGAATCTGTCAGCACCTTGGTCTTGGACTTCCCAACTTGCAGAATTGTGAGAAATCAATGTTGTTTAAGCCACAAAGTCTATGGTATTCTGTTCTAGCAGCTTGAGTCAAGGAAAACAAATGCTGTCTATATTTTTGATCCTCCATGCACACCTCTGCTTCCAGAAGATGGATTTATCTATCCAGGAGGACTCCAGTGTAGAAGCAACTTCACCATTTGACCACGAAGACTCAAGTTGTATCTACTCAACAGGACATCTTCCAAAGTGGCTATGTCTTACAGAGCCCAGTTCATTTCTCTGACCCAATCAAATCCCCTTCCATATGAAATCTCTCTAGCTTGTGTGACTCACCCACGCATAAAATCCATCTCTCATGAATCTCTTTCTCCACTGGACAATTATGTTATTATAGATATCACTAGCAAGGATCGCCAACATTCAAGACATTTCTTCTAAGGCTGTCTTATAAGAATTAGCTCATTTAGGGTTGGGGGTATATCTCAGTGGTAGAAYACTAGTCTAGCGTGTGTGAGACCCTGGGTTCAATCCCCAGCATTGAAAAATAAGAGGAAAAAAAAAATCAGCTCTTTAATCCTCAACAAGAACCATGTGAGAATGTGCTATCACCATTCTATAAATGAGGAATATTAAGGCCTGAGAAATCCAGCGCAGTGCCCATTAACAACGAAACAGCAGCACTGGGGCCGTGTTGCCCAACTCTGGAACTTCCTAACCACTGTACAGCACTTCCTGGTTTTCACCAGCTCCCTCTGTTTGAAAATCTATCCACAGTGACCATAACTATAAGATACGTGGAAAAGAGAGTTCCCTGGGTCTTTAGAGACTCAAATCTGGAAAGCAGGTTGGTGCCTTCACAACACCTGCACATCCCTTTTCTCCCCTGGTCTATGGAACAGGAARGCTGGGTCTGCATGGTCATCCTTGCCTTCCAGCAAATGCTGTGGCCTGGGCTCTGCGGGCTGTGGCTTATCGACAAGACCAGGCTTTATTGTGTTTCATGGATCAGCAGCTCGCAGCCTGGGAGGGCAACACGGGCTTGGCATCCAGTAGAAGGTTCCCGGAGGAAACAGCCTTGTCGTGTGCAGGTACTCATTTAAATTCCAGACCCTGGCTTTAAGACACACATCTGCAGTGAGCATATGTACTGTGATAGATGAAAACAGAAATGGTTTTCCCTTGTATCTGTATTATTAGATTTGACCTCCCATCGAAACAGCCAAGAAAGAGTGGAAAATTAAAGGTGATTTGATATTAGCCTCCCATTCATATTAGAAAAAGTAACTGCTCTTGCGGTTTTCCTCACAGAGGTGTCTTTATTCATCTGACATGCCTTTAATAACTAATTCTAGTTGTCTGGTTGCCAAGAAAGATTTCCTACGGGCAGACTTAAAAGTGACTCGGAACTCTTTGCATGCCCGCCTTCAAATGATCCCAGAACAGCAAACATCCAGCTTCCCTCCAGACTTCTGAAGTGTGGGAATAACATGAAAGAGTGAACAGGAATCCTTCTCGGCCCGCATATGCCGTGAGCCGAGCTGTCTGGCAGAGGCTGCGGCTGTGTCTACATGGACCCAGCAGAGTGAGATTTGGAAATAATYTCATGAATTTTATCTGTGGAGTTAGCCAAACCAAATGATTTATTTCAAGAAAAGAAATCTACTTTGGGGCCRGAATGATCCAGGTCAGTCATAAACAAACAGAGCTTTCCTCTGTCTGCGTAGAYTTA